TTTTTTTTTTTAAAAGACACATTCATTAGATAAAATGTTTTATATGAATAAGACACGTTCATTAGATAAAGAAATACAAAATGAATGAGAGAGAGAGAATGAAATGGCAAACATGAGTATAAGAACCTGTGCCATTAATAATGGAGATATTGTCTCCATTTGTAATGTAATCGGTCACTACATTTCTTTCTCTAAATGTGTGTAATATCTTGTATAGCAACTTCTCTCATTTTAAGAGATAATGTTTCCAAAAAAAAAAAAAATTAGGAGCGCTGCCCCCGAACCCCCATGGGCCCCACCCTTTCAACTCTGGGACCCCCATACTTCGACGGGCTAGCTCCGCCCCTATTGAAGGGTACTGTAACATCACTTTTGGTTTCTGACAGATTCTTCTATTTTTCTCTCTAAACTCTTCGTTTTTAAGGGTTTTCTTTCTTCTTCTTCTTGGTGTTGAAATCCTTCTCTGTAAATCTATTTTTGTGATTAATCCTGTAATATTAGTCCTACTACAGTAACACTCGGCTGTTTGTAGTCTGTATTTTTCTAAGGTTTGTTTAGGACGGTTGAGAGTTGATTGTTGTCAAGGATTTGTGTCTTGATTTTATAGATCCACAAGGATTGATGATCAAACCAGTGTTTTGAGTGGTTTGATGTACACTATACTCTATCTTGGAAGGCTATTTTGCACTAGTGGAATGGGCTACAGTCCCTGAACTCCCTAGATTAGGCATTTGCCTGAACTGGGTCAACAACTTGGTGTTTTTACGTTTTTACTTCGAATATTTTTCTTGTGATTATGTTATGTTTCAATTTTTTTCATTGACTTATTTCATTAAAATCCTTATAATATTTTTGTCACGTTGCCCCATCCCCATACACGATTGAAGCGGGAAGGGAACCTACCCCATTTATCGTCCTATTTATTTTTTATTTTTATTTTTTTGCTTTTATTTTTGTATATCCTTTAGTTAGTAAATATTATTACTTTTATTCCAATTTGTTAAGAACAACTTAGTTCTCTTTAAAAATAATGATAAATCTTTTATTTTTGTTTGATAAAAAGTTTAAATTTGAAATTAATTTTAAACGAGTGCGTAGCAAGGCGGATAGCGGGGCGGGAGCTATGTTTCCCGTGCCCACCCCATACCTACTTAGCGGCAATGACTTATTTCCCGTCCCTGTCCCTTTTACCTAGTTAGACGGGTAATTCTCACCCCCATGCAGGGCATGGCCACACTGGTATCGAATTGAATAGATTGTTCAGTCATTCCTAATAGTTCCTTAATTAATGTACACAAGAAAATTGCCATATATATCATGATACACGTAAATATTAATTTAAAAAATCGGCCTAGACATCAACTTGAAAAAGGTCAAATGTTAAAGGATCGAGAGTTGTTAAGTTGTCATGTCTTCATTTATGATTGTAACTATTTCTCTCCTTTTGAATGTATAATACACTTTGTACTGGGCCATTCCTCATGACCATTTTACAGGGTAGGGTATCTTGTGTCGTGTTAGACTTTTACATTAATGTGGTTTCATACTTTGTTATAAAGATTGTTATAATGTTTAGCGAGAGCTTTAACCTATAGTGTAAAAGTTAGAACTTATTGACCATATAAGCAAGAACTCCATAATCGCATCTTTAGTCTTTTATGATTTATAATATTAATTGAAGAGCGAACAATGAATTATAAATATCGGTGATGATAATATCGTCCAAAAATAATTCTTCAATCTCCGTACAGTTAATCTGAGTCATCCTATATCAAAGGGTAACCTATGATGATCTTGCACAATCGATGAATACACTTAGACCAGATGCATCAAGCTCGACTTCTGAAGATCAAGAGAACTTTATGTATCATATTTGCTCAATAGGACAATTCAAAGTAATAATGTCCACGACAGCTGACTATAGCTAAAAGTAATGCTAATCCAGAAGATTACCAGTATCTACAACCACACCTTATTTCTTTGATAGTTAGGGACATTGGAAATAAAATATTAATTTAATGAATGTTGTTACATGTACATAAATGTTTATATAAAAGATTACATAATATCACATGACATTTTACTATTTGTCAGTTTAAAATACAATCATCTTTTTTATTCAATTTTTTCCCTCCGCATGTAATCTTTTTTTATATACCATTTTTATATACAAGTAGCATAATCCTAATTCAATGAACTTTGGCCCCAGTTAGTACAATAATTTGAAAATTTCCTAATTTAACTTTTAGATTTATGTTCCTGATTTGCAAATTTCCTAATTCTAACGTAAGGACAGCTGACTATAGCTAGGACATGAATCGAGAAATTGCCTCTTTTTCCTGATGGAAAAAGATTATTATTGTACGAATGTGTATCTACATCCACATATTATTTCTTTGATAATTAAGGACGTTGAAAATAAGGTGCTATTCCTAATTCAACTTTTAGATTGAGTTTTTGAAGTTTCCTTCCTACCTTTGTCAACCAAAATGTTGTATCACATGTGTTGACTCCAATAGATTGCTAGTAAGCAAATAGCACCAATTGATCGGGTTTGCTCTATCGGTATGTCTCAATTCCTCTAGTTATGGTGTTCCGAACTTGATTTGGACTTTGTGGCTAAGCTTGATTGTTTATATTGCCCCCGTTTGACACTCATTAATTTCTCATTTTCATTCTTCATTTCAACCACACATTCTCCAAATAAAATAATATTACACATAAATAAAAAAAATTTCATCACTTTTCCACCACACATTCTCACATCAATCACTGTTCCAAAATTTCTGTTATCCTCAAAATTAGATTCAAACATACACAATTGTTATTCTAATATTTACTCTTAACACATAAGAATTGGGCTATAGCTCCCCCATAGTAACCAAAAAAAGAAGTTGATGAGGCAACTAACATGAAATGTGTGTATAACTAAAATTTCTCAATCTGGAATCCGTAATTTCCATATTTTACTGAGATTTTGATGAGATTCTAAGATTAATTCTCTCATTGTACTCAGGGTCGACCTGATAGTTTTGGGGCCTTATGTTAACTTTAAATATGGGCCATACGAATATTAAGCCCCTGTTTGCGATCAAATACTTTATATCGTGTCGTATAACCTCTTTCCTTTTCCAACCAAATTGAGTTCTATAAGAAGTGTAGATAGAAAGTAAGCTAGATTAACTTAAATTAAATTTAAGCTTTACCGAACATGCCCCGGATGTTTTCTTACACACCACTTGTCAGCCGCCCAAGAAAATGACATAAATAATAAAACAGTCCAATATTGCCATGAATGCCATCGGTTATGGACTATAAATTTGTACACAAGCCCCATTATAGAATACACCAAAAAAGTAAAAACCTATGGAGTTCCTATTGTTCCTTGTTCTATTTTCTGCCATATGCACATGCATTTTTTTCCTAACCTCAAATTCAAAGCACCGCAAGTCCGCCAAGCTTCCTCCAGGGCCTTATCCTTTTCCGATAATCGGGAACATTCTACAACTCGGCGAAAAACCCCACCAGTCACTGGCCAAACTTTCCCAAACCTATGGACCTCTTATGTATCTTAGAATGGGTTATCGTGAAACAATAGTCGTTTCATCACCAGAAATAGCTAAAACTGTACTACAAAAATATGATCAATCCTTATGTGGCAGAACTGTCCCCGTAACCCTAGAATCCCTCCAGCATGACAAATTTTCTATGCCGTGGTTGCCAGTTGATAATCAATGGCGTAAACTTCGCAAAATATTGAAAGAACAAATGTTTTCACTGCAAAGGCTTGACGCAAGCCAGGGCATTCGACGAGAAAAATTGCAGAAACTATGCGACTATGTGAATCAATGTTGTGTTAATGGTCATGTAGTGAATATAGCTGAGGCTACATTTACGACCTCACTTAACATGATATCGTCCACTCTTTTCTCAGTTGATTTTGCCGACTTCAATTCTGATTCCTCTCATGAGTTTAAGGATGTTGTGTGGAATATAGGTAAATGTATTAGCAGTCCTAATCTTGCAGATTTCTTTCCAGTTCTTAAATATGTTGATCCACAAGGAATCTCACGCCGAACCAAGTTTTATTACGGAAAATTATACGCAATTCTGGAAAGTATTATAGATCAACGGTTGAAATCAAGAGGAACATTAGAAAAAAATGATTTGCTGGAAGCCCTTCTTTATCTCTACAAAAAGTCTGAGCCAGAATTAAGCCAAAAAGATATAAAATATCTACTAGCGGTATAGACGATACTCAATTTTATTGCTCTAGAAAATACTTAAATTCTCTCTCTTACTTGGCTTTCTATTTTGTAGGACTTATTTCTTGGTAGCACGGATACGGTTCCAGCTACTGTTGAATGGGCAATGGCTGAATTACTCCGCAACCCCAAGAAGATGTCGAAAGCTAAAAGAGAGCTTAGTGATGTGATTGGAGAGCATGGTGTGATTCAAGAATCAGATATTTCAAAGCTCCCTTACTTAGAGGCCGTAGTGAAAGAAATACATAGGCTTCACCCTGTCGGACCCTTGTTAGTACCTCATAAAGCTATGGCTGAGATTGAAATCAATGGTTACATAGTCCCCAAAAATGCTCAAATACTAGTTAATATATGGGCAAGCAGTAGAGATTCAAACATTTGGTCCAATCCAGATTCATTTATGCCAGAAAGATTTTTAGATAAAAAAATTGATTTCAATGGCCAAGATTTCAAGTTCATTCCCTTCGGCGCAGGGAGGAGAATATGTCCGGGATTGCCTTTGGCGCACAGGGTAGTACACGTAATGTTGGCCACTTTGATACACAATTTTGATTGGAGACTTGAGGAGGGACTGAAACCAGAAGACATTGACATGAGTGAGAAATACACTATTACTTTACACAAGGCCACATCTCTCAAGGCATTTCCAATCAAATTGTGATCTTTCTCTTTATTTTATGAGTTGAAGAGAGCTTTTACCTGTCTTATAGTGGTGAATAAAAGACGTTAATACTGTAATATTACTCTTTTCTAAATAAAAGACGTTAAACGTTGTAATATTGTCCTTTTTGGGTTGAGTTAAGTCTACTAAGATGGATATTTTTTGTAGTTTTCTTTGATTCGTTAATTTCCCTTATAAAAAGGAAAACAAAGTAAGTTTCAAGAACTCGCAAGTTCAACTTGATGGAGATAAACATGATTTAAGAAGTGCTCGATTTGACTTCTATAAAATTCACTCCATTTCAAGTATGATTTACCAATAGATCATGTCCAATGTGTATCACATACTCGACATAGGGTGTCGCGTGTCTTCAAAATAAAAAAACGCGAGTTACCTGTTGGATACAAAACCTGGATCCTCTCACCTCTAATCGACTAATCGTACTCTCCAACTATTTACTTTATTTTTGAACACTATTTAAACTATGCTGACTTACTGATTTGATCAACGGTTGAACGCACTCCTTCTTTCAATGATTGAACACCGTACTTGATGCATATTTTGTAGATTATTTAATTTTTGGTGTAAACGTTATATTGCAGAAATAGTAGCAACTAATACAACAACGGATATATTATTGGAAAATTTTATTTATACATAAGAAGTTGACAACCTCTCACAAGCTTGCGGGGTTCGCATGTTTAAAAAAAAAATTTGTTTTTTTTTTTAAAAAAGGACCCCCCATTGTAAGTGTATGTCAACCCATATGTCAACAAATGGTTGTAAAAATAGCATCTCTATATTATTTGGGTTGTTCAAGGTATTGATTTGAAGGATTTTGATATTTGTACGTAAAAAATGTACATAAGCGGTTATCAAAAATAATGTGGGAAAAAAATTGGATGAAAAAGTTGATTGTATTTTAAATTGTTAAATAATATAGTGACATTATATAAATTTGAGAAGTGCTATGGGTACAAAATTGTGGTCCACAGGGGTTTGGGTCCCACCTCATGTGAGTGTTATGTGAATTATTATGGACCAAAATAAATTTTAATGTATATGTAGCAAAATTCTTGACTGAATTGAGGATTCATTATCTGTCATACACTATGTACCCCCAAAATTTCCAGCAGGGTCATATGATTATATTTCCAATAATTTCTCAGTTTAAACTCCATTGTCTCATAGGATAATCACAATGCTAAAAAGTAAGCAATCATCCAAATTTTGATTATAATTCAAAGATACAGAACAAGATAGGTTGTGCTTTTTTAAGTTTCTTTGTTAATAATAGGTTGAAAAAAAATTAAATTTCTTAATAACAATAATAACATTTTCCCCTCTCATAATAACACAAGTAAATTTTATCAAGGATAATCCCTCTGATTAGCAAGTTTAATGTGGTTATTTGCATGTTGTAGTCCTTTCTAAAAGCATAAAAGCGATTCAACGTTGTATTAAAGTTTATAGCAAGCATATGTTCAAGTATTTTAGCCTTTGTTTGAGTCTCATTTTTTGGGAAATAGATTTTGTAGCAGTGATTTTGTGTGAATGTATGTTTAAAAAATTAGAAGATTTTTTGAATTTACATATAAATTTTTTTTAATTGAAAAATGTATTATTAAAAATAAATTTAAGTAAAAATAAATTTTTAGACAACGAGACACAGGAGGCTTAATTGTATAAAAATTTTAATGGATTGTGCAACTCAAAGTTGTCTCCTCAGAAAAGTTTTATCCAATGAGTAAATCCAAGTGTACATCCAAGTGTACGGAATTTTGGTTGACAGAGGACTTACCACCTCTCACATGAGGCGTGTGTAAGTGTTATACCCTATATCCAATCAACTTTGGATATAAATACTTTAAATATATATAATTGATGTATATGTATGGCAATATCTATTATTTAATTGAATTAATATTCTAATAAATTAAATAATAGAATCCGTAGATTCAAGTCTTGGTGATTTGTTAATCACAAGGAGTTGTGATTGTGAGATACAAATTACATATGACTGAATCTTAAATCGTCCGTGGTCGAAGTAATAACGAGATACGGATATCGTTATTACGGATAGACTATCGCGTGTGGCATTCTTACTTGTGAAGTAAGTAGCTGATCTCACAAGCTAAAGTGTGGTGACACTTGAATGAACACGTGGATGTTTTGTTATAGAACAAAACATTGGAGACCCACTGAGAGATTCCACATGGATAACTATCTAAGTGTTAGTGGTTAATCTCTAACGTTCGGTAGTGGAATTGGTCCTTTGACTTGAGGTCATCATAGTACCTTATATGAGGGCAGTCATACTTTGGTGATGTTGGATGTTGCTCTGTCAAGGGTCGCTAATACAGCATCGTTCGGGTATGTCAAGAATCATATGAAGGTTGTGAATGACCAATAGAGGATTCGTCACTCTTAGATAGTAAGAGATTATGATCTACATTTTATCCAGTTAAGTTGATAATGAAATTCTTGGCCAATGTGAACTCATAAGTCGAAAAAGAGTTTTCAACTTACATTAACTTAAAAGTGGGATAAAAGATATGATCAATAATTGAGATTGACACATATCCATATCTCATCATTAATCGAATCGTATTAATTAAAATATTATAATTTCACGGTAAACGAACAAGTTTGGTTTGTCACATCACGTGACATTTCCCATCACATGTATTGCCTTGACACATTGCAAGATGTTAATTTGGGACGACGAATGTGAATTAGTGATAAATTAAAATGGGTGTTTTAATTTATTGATTTTGATTAGATTAAAATAATAATTCACGTTGTTAGGCATCGTGATCGGGAACCTAATAGGTCACACACAAAAGAGAATCAGAAGAATGAGATTTACCAATTAATTAATTGACAAGTGTTGGATAATTAATTAATTGGGTTGTTTATTAATAGGCCCGAATTAATTAATTGGATTAATTAATTCATGGACCAGATTTA